AGTTGATCCTTGGTGTAGATTCTTTTGCTCGAACGTACTTCAAAACATTTGGTTTTTTTTTGTCCAAATTGTAATAATGATCTGAACCGTACTCCTACATCATGTTGCAAAAAGCCACAATAACAAAAGCCCTTCAATAGGGGCTTGAAATGTTGGTCAAACCTATAGTTTATGTTGATTTAGACAAATGTTGTAAATAATTGATATTCATGGACACAGGTTTTTCATGTTTTTGTCAATACTAGCAGGATGTCATTTTATGGCTTTGAGATAAGTGAGATTGTGCTAAATTTACTGATGTATTCGTTTAACAGTTTTGTTAGTAAACATATTCAATGATACAGAAAATAATTAACATATTCTAAAGTATTTAACAACCTAGAAAATAATTTTCTTTAGTTTTCTCCCTTAACTTTATATCTTAATTAATTAATTGAAATTGTTCCAGACCAATCAGCAACTAAAGTAAAGGATTTCATTACCTGACACACAAATTTACACAACTGATACACATGGAAGGAAGTGGAACAGATATAGAAGTGTCAATAGTTAGTAAGGCAGGGTGTTGAAATAAACCTGTATACGTGGATCCAAAAGTCAATTAAATGCATTTCTGGAGGGAGAAGAAAATGAGTGTCTATCAGGGATGTCAAGCATACAACCTGTGTAACACTTTCATCTGGCCTGCAGACTTCCCAAGAATCTTCATTTCTTTATTTAGGTTCTTTGAGTAGCACCTTGGACAAGTCTGCTAGATGAGCTTTATAACAAATTGAAATCATTTATTTTGCCCTCTTCCTGCCCCTCCACATCAAAGAGCCATCATCGCCTAAAGATGGCAATCGTGTCTGGCACTGTTTGCCTGACCCAGTTTCTTAACGTTCTTGCAGCATTCATAGGATACATTTTTAACTTCCTTGGTCAAAAAATTTCTGCTTCATGGTTTTATTTAAAGTAGATTAAGAACGTCTTTTGTTTCCTAAGTATAGACTACTGGACTTCTCCGGTTCTTAAAAATTTTTATTATTAAAAATAACATTTTAAATGATTTGAATGACAAAGAATTTTGATGTCAGTTTTGCTGTAGGCAGGGAATTATTTGATTAATAGTGAACATTACCAAAGGCAAGGAACAGACAAAATAATGGCAAACCCTACTATTCTACAGGGCTATATATCTGGCTGTTCACAAAATAACTGTTGAAATTCTGAGAGTCTTGGAAAACATCAGTGGCTACAATGATTGTTCCTGTTTCTCATTGTGTTATAAATGAGCTGTGACCAACAATTGCAGAATCACAGAATTTTTACTCTTCAGAAGGCAGCTATTCAGCCCATCAAGTCTGCATTGGCTCTCCAAAGAGCATTATGTCTTTGAATATAGAACAGTAATTTATCGTCATGTGTATTTTTACAATAAGATATGTTCAGAAATCTTATATGTCACCAGACCACAGCATCTGTATTAATGACATAAGTTCATTGATTAAAAAGAAAAAAAAAGGCAAAGTTCATCTCAGGTTAATTTCAGTCTGGGGAAAGCCGATTAAAACAACAAACGCTGGAATACCCAGAAGTTGCTAAAGAAGACCTCCATGCCGGGACGAGGAATAAAGGAATAATAATTTAATTTTAAAAGCAGTTGCAGAATAAAGTGTGTTTTTAAAGTATCAGAATAACCAATATTTAGTAGTAAGGCAAAGAATAAACAGTAATGGAACTAAGAACAATATTTGCTGTTTAGTGCTGTTTGCCTACTTTTTCCCCAATGCCCTCCTGAATGCCTCAATTGACTCCTCCTCCACCACATTTCCAGGCAACGCATTCCAAACTCAAACCACTCATTGCACAAGTGTTCATTTTTAACATAATATTTGCTAATTTTGTAAATCACTTTAACTCCATGTCCTCTCGTTCTCTATCCTCTTGTAAGTCAAAAAAGATTCTCTTTATCTACTCTATCCAGACTACTTGTGATTTTGAAAACTTTCAGATCTCCTCTTAACATTCTTCTCTCTAAAGAGATCAGTCCCAACATCTCCAAGCTATCCTCTAACTGATGTTTCTCATCCTATTTTTGTCATCCTCTTCTACAGCTTTCCAAAGTATTCAGACTGTTCCTATTTTGTGTGGCCCAGAACTGTATACAATACTCCGGCTGAAGTCAAACAAGTGTCTTGTAGGAGTTCAGCATAACCTCCTTTCTCTTGTACTCCATGTCCCTATTAATAACATCCAGAAATTGCGGCCTTTAATTAATTACAATCCTTTCCTGCTCTGCCACCCTCAGAGATTTGTGCACAATTACTTCTGCACCTGCATAAGTATTGTACTGCCTATGTTATATCTATCCATGTTGTTTCTACGGAAATACTTCTCTGCATCAAACCTCATTTACACTTTCTGCCCATTTCACCAACTTGTCTATGCCCTTTTGGAGTTCTACACTAGCTACTTCATAGTTTACAATGCCTGGAAGTTTTATATCACCCATAAACTTTGAAGTTGGTCACTGCACACCAAATCTAGATCATTAATATCAATCAGGAAAAGCAAAGCTTCCAACACTGACCTCTTTGGAACTCCAGTACAATCCTTCCTCCAGCCCAAAAAGAATTCACTGGGGGCCACTACTCTCTGCTTCCCATTGTTCAGTTAATTTTATATCGACATGTTGCTTTGATCCTTTTATTCCATAAACTATGACCTTTCTCCCAATTCTGTTGTATGGCATGGTATCGAATGCCTTTTGAAAGTCCACGTAGACCACATCAACAGCATTATCCTTTTTGACACTTCTGTTACCTCTTCAAAAAAGCTCCAGCAAATTAGTTAAAAAGATTTCCTGTTTAGAAATCTATCCTGGCTCTTCCTAATCAGCACACTTTTAAAAAGGGCTATGAATAATTCTATCCCAAATAATTGTTTCTAGAAACTTCCCCATCACTATAGTTAAACAGACTTGTCTGTAATTACTGGTCGTCCCCTTTACAGGCTTTTGAACAAGGTCTGCAATTCTCCAGTCCACTGGCACCTCTCAAGTCAAGGGAAGATCGAAAGGTATGGTCAGTTCCCCTGCAAGTTCCACACTCACTTCCTTCAATACCTTTGGAACCATTTCATCTGACGCTGAGTTTTTGTTAACTGTAAGCATCTACATATCCAACTCTTTATCCTTATCAATTTTGAACCCTTCTGGTGACAGAGCTTCCTCCTCTGTCACCATTACTTATGTGGCATCTGCCTCCTTGGTAAAGACAGATATAAAATATTCATTGATACCTCAGCCATTTCTTCATGTGCAAATCCCATTTTTGGTTCCTAATCAATCCTACACTTTTTACCTGGTTTTTACTGCTGGTGTTCCGAACAAAGGCATTTGGATTCCCTTTAATATTGGCCTCCGGTCCATTCTCATAACTCCCCTTCACTTTGTAATATGCTTTTCCGCCTCTCCTCTGAACATTCTGTATTCATCATGGTTCTCAATTATATTTTCTACCTCTAACTTTTATCTCCTTTTTCATCCAGGATGCTCTGGATTTGTTTGCATTCCTTTTCCTCTTGGGGAAGCATACCTTGACTGTACCTGAACCATCTCGTCTTCAAAGGTAGTCCATTGTTCATCTATAATTTTTCCCATCAATGTTTTGTTCCAATCTTTCCCATTTAACTTCATTCTTTCCATATTGAGTTAGCTCACCCAGTTACTTATTCTTAGAATGGATTGCTTATTGTCCTTTTCTATCATCATCCTAAAATTTACAAGACAATGGTCGCTGTCTCCTAAATGTGCCCCCACTGACACTTGAGCTATTGACCTACATTATTTCCAAGAGTGAAGTCCAAGAGTATAACCTTTCTATTTGGACAGGAAACATAACATTGTATGAAACTTTATTGAACATAATCTGGGACATCTGTTTTTTTTTCTGCCCTTAATGCTACCGCTGTCCCAGATTATATTTGAGTAGTTAAAGTCCCAAATATAACTACTCTGCGTAGTTGACACCTTTCTGTAATTTCCCACAGATTTGTTCTTCTATATCATTCCCACTGGTCAATTGAGAAATTTAATCACATAGTTTTTGCTGTAGCTTGATTAATTCTCTCCTTCTCCTTCTGCAGCACTGCATAGCTCTCCTTAGCAATTATTGCCACATTTCTTCCTTTCCTTTCTTTGCTGAAACCTCACATCCAGGAAGATTTAACAGCCAGTCCTGTCCTTTGTTGAGCCAAGTCTCAGCTATCGCCATGACATCACATTTCCATGTGGCAATCTGTACTTGTAACTTCTCAATCTTATTTGCTATATTCAGAGAATTCACATGCATGCACAATAACCCTGATTTAGACTTCACTACTTTCTTTCTTATTCCAGCATCACCCATTAACTTTCTGTTCTTTATGCTGGTGCTATTCATCTGTCCAAGCATTTTGTACTATGTTTTCTCTCTAACATTGGTTTTGAGACTGCTGCTGTGTTAGTTTAAAGACCTCTCAACAACACTAGCAAAACATCCTGCAAGGAACTCAGTCCCAGCTCTGTTCGAGTGCAAACCATCCAGCTTGGCATATGTCATCTTCCCCTGAGCCACTGCCAGTTTGCGGAATCCAAAGCTCTCCCTCCTGCACCGTCTTTCCAGCCACACATTCGTCTAACCTATCCTTCTATTTCTCTGCTCATTTGCACATGACACTAGATATAACTGAATTATTATGTATGAGATCCTGCTTGCTAATTTTCTATCCACTCCCTATATTTCAATTGCAAGACCACACTATGTTGTTGGTGTTTTATGTTTTCACCCAACATTCACCATTTTAAGCAGTTGACCCATAGCAGTACATAAGGATGTAAAGCTTGATCAATGCACACTTATTTTGGTTCTTGCCTCATCAGCTGACAAACAAATGCAAACGTTTAAAGTACACACGTGCATAGCATGCAAAATGCATATTATTTTACATCCCACAGTCCATTGTTCATTTTTACTCACCAGTCAAAAATGCCGTTAGCTAGATCTGGTCTCCAAATTCTCCGTTGGTATTTAATTGGAGTGCATAAAATGGAGCATATTCGACAGCATTCTTATAAAGTAAACCACATCAAGCACATTTCTAAAAATCTGAAAAATGACAAAGCAGCTTTATATAAAAAAGAAACTTAACTCACAAAAACAAAATCACAACCATCAGAAAGGCAGGTTATTTTAGCATTCTTTACCAGTGCCACATTAATACAACAGGTGCATCTACAAAGTGGACTGTAAATGAAAACCTTTTATAAGTTTATATATAACCCCTTCTTAATTATTGTATGTTTGAATTTAGAATAAGCAGGTGTACAGTTTTATGCTTTCAACAAGACAAATAGTTTAGTATGTAATTTTCAGCAAAGCCTGTATAAGAAAAATGTGATAAATCTTTTAGCTAAAATACATTTACAAAGATTTAAAATGAGAAAGATGAAGGTTATGTATGAAGCTGAAAATGAGATCAAACTCTTATCATTGCAGGCCTATCTTGTGAGAAGATTCTCTTTCTGAAGCAAAAGGGTTGAAAACTTGAAGTTAGATTTAGTAACTATGATACTTTCTGTTGTTCAACAGTTGAAGGTTGCTTTCCTTTTGACATATTTAGGGAATGTGGGCTTTCCTTGTTGGACCAGCATTTATTTCCCATCCTTAATTGTGGAGATATTCCTAGTGAGTCATAGGCAAATTGAGTAGAAGGGGTCCCTGAGTGGAAGCTTGTTGGTCGCACTCCTACAGCTCTTGGTAGCCTGGCTTAGTACAGCAGTGTTGGATGCCTTCTTCTGCTTCCCGGCTGAGGAGTGGTTGCTGTTTCGAGGTGGTGTTCAGATGATTCACTTTTAAATATCTGTTTCCAGCCAGCCTTTAGCACAATCAAACAATATGACTCCAAAAATTAATTTTGATGACTCATTGTTCCACCATGCAAAGTCAATTATGCTAGAATTTCTTGTTGGAACTTTGCCTATTTCCTGTTCAGCATCACCATAGCTTTTGAGTCTTCATACCTGTTGAAGGTTCAATGGACATTCCTGGAATCCTTGAATTATTTAATGGCCTTATGTGTTTTACTCTTAAGAAAACAACAGTCTGGATGAGATAGTAAGAACTGCCAATGCTGGAGTCAGAGACAATGCAGTGTGGAGCTGGAGGAACACAGCACGACAGGCAGCATCAGAGGAGCAGGAAAGCTGACGTTTCAGGTCAGGATCCTTCTTCAGAAATCAGATTTCTGATTCCAGCTTTCCTGCTTCTCTGATGCTGCCTGGCTTGCTGTGTTCCTCCAGCTCCACACTGTGTTATCTGTAACAGTCTGGAAGTGCGTTTTTGGCTGCTGTTGAATCCACAAGGAAGATGCGGGATTTTGGGAGCCGAGTTGTAAGCTTCCTTATATCCATTTTAATGACTGATTAGTTTTCTTTAGAAAATACATGTCATGTTTCCATGCCCATGACAGCAGACATGTCGGTTCATCTTCTAATTCAGAGTAACAATAAGTTCAACACTTCTGCAAGAAGAAAAATAAAATCAAAAATCTTGCAAAACTCATCGCCCTCATCTTCTAATGTCAAAAACATACATATTGTACAGGAGCCCTGGTTGTGGCATCTCTTTTTCAGGTAGATAGAGTTTTAAGCTGGGCCTTTATCAGGCATCTGTGCACGTAGATCCTCAGAGTCTCTCTTCATCTGGCACATGTCACAAAGGATTTGAATTTGCCTTTTTTTAAAAAAAGAAAACGTGTTTTGAAATGAATACATCTACACTAGCAATGGCAGTGGACAGCTGTGCCTCTGGAAAGTAAGCATTCATTAGTTTCCATTCAGCTGACTATCTGCATACACATGGTTGGATGCAAACAGTCTGTCCTAATCAAATTATTTAACGCAACTTTTTAAAAAAAAATTACATCAAGCTAACTAAAACACAGCTTGTTGCTGGATTCCATGAAACTTTAAATCATGTGCATTAATCTTAGTGTTTGCAAGATAAAATTACATGGTCTTCTATCATTCAATGTTAAAATCTAATCTCAGAAGGCAGATTAATTAATTCATATTTACTTTGCGTCAACTCGGACCATGTCTGCTAAAGACAACTGTTTAAAAAAAAATGCTAAATTTGAAGGAAAATATCCTTATAATCCAAGGACTTTTGAATGATCTCTAGTTTCTGTTCACACTTTTCTATGTAACAAGGGAGCCATTAGACAGTTCCATAAAAATAAGATTATCTTTACATAATAAACTGTGTTCTTGTGGACAGTTAATACAAGCAATGAGAACATTAGAGTCAATTCTGCATTTCTGTGTTTCCACTGGAGAAGCTCTGCTTGAAGGGAAACAATTTCAATAAGGAATTGACCTTCTAGACTGTCTTCTTCGTATGTGTGATTGTCCACTGGGAGTGCAGGAATTAACCTTATTAGGATAATTTTAGCTTTGTGTCATTGTGTAAAAACAGGGGCTGAATTGATGCTAAAAAGCAAAAACAAAAAAGAAATCTGTGAAAACTCAGCAGATCAGGCTGTATGTGTGGAATGAACAGGTTGTCTTATCAAGAAAGATTGGACAGATTGGGTTTGGTTCTACTGGAGTTTAGAGGGGTAGCAGTATGAAAGATTCTGAACTGTCTTGACAAGGTGGATGTAGAAATTCTGTTTCCTCTTGGATGAGAGTCCAGAACTTAGGCCACTCTTAAAATTAGAGGTTGCTCTTTCAAGGGAAATTAGATTTTTTTCTCTCTGAACTGTGCTACTCTGGAACTGTCTCAAAAGGCAGTGAAGGTGGCATCATTCCTCAGGCAGAGGCAGATACATTTCTATTAGGCAACGGAATTAAGGTTATCTGAAGTAAATGGTCACATGGAATTGGACAAACAGTTCAATCATGATCTTATTGAATAACAGAGCAGGCTTGATGAGCCAAATGTTCTACTTCTGCTCCTAATTCATGGGTGTGTGCTTGTATGCTCATAGTTACCATTTCAGATCGGGTGACTTTTATCAAAATTGAAACTTGAAACATGAGAGTTTTTTATTAGACAGTAGAAGAGCTGAGGGAGGCAGGAAAAACAAAAGGATAGCTCTGTCATAGGATCTAAAGTAAGGGAGATCAAATAGAGTCATAGAGTGATACAGCATGGAAACAGACCATTTCATCACACCAGTCCATGCCGACCATGTCCCCAAACTAAACTAGTCCCACCTACCTGTGCTTGGCCCATACCCCTCCAAACATTTCCTATTCATGAACTTATCCAAATGTCTTTTAAATGTTGTAACTGTATGGCATCCACCACTTTTTCTGGCAGTTCATTCCACACATGAACCATTCTGTGTGAAAATGTTACTCCTCATGTCCTTTTTAAAAACTTTCTCCTCTCACCTTAAAAATGTGTCCCCTAGTTTTGAAGTCTCCCAACCTAGGGAAAAGACTCTTGTCATTCACCTTATCGTTGCCTCTCGTGATTTTATAAACCTCAGTAAGGTCACCCCTTAACCTCCTACACTTCACTTAAAAAGTGATTCAGCCTTTCTAATCTATTTTTATATCTCAAACCCTTCATTCTGAGTAACATCCTGGTAAATCTTTTCTGAACCCTCTCCAGATTAATAATATCTTTACTATAACAGGGCGACCATAACTGTACACAGTACTCCAGAAGAGGCCTCACCAACATCCTGTACTACCTCAACATGACATTCCAACTCCTATACTCAAAGGTCTGAGCGATTAAGGCAAGAATACTAAATGCCTTCTCAATCACCCTGTCTATCTCTGATGCAAATTTCAAGGAGTTATGTACCTGATCCCCTAGGCCTCTTTGTTCTGCAACACTACCCAGGACCCTACCATTAATTGTACATGTCCTGTCATCGTTTGTATTACTAAGATGCAATACCTTACATTTATCCAAATTAAACTCTATCTGACACTCATCAGCCCATTGACCCAATTGATCAAGATCTCTTTGTAACCTTAGGTAACCTCCTTCACCACCAATTTTGGTGTTATCTGCAAACTTACTAATCACATAACAAAAAAAGCCTGGTTCAAAATTAAAACAGAGCGCTAATGAGTGTAACAAAGGAACAAAACATGCAACATTAATTAATAAAGCAAGAAAACACAGCCAAAAACATAAAAAAGGGGGAAAAAAAGAAGACAAATGCAGAGGTTATGATTCGATGTTGAGTTCAGAAAGAGCACCAACTCAAAAGATAAGGTGCTGTTCTTTGAACTTGTATTGAGCTTTGCTGGAACACTATAGCAGGCCATGAATAGAAAGGTCAGCATGGGAGCAAGGTGAAGAATTGTAATAAGACAACCAGAAACTCTGAGGAAGATCAAATAGACTATAAATTTTCTTGGTCTCGATGCACAACTAAGGAATATTTGCAGAGTCTGCTGTGGTAATAAAACACTAATGTTATTTTAGAAATAACTTACTGTTGCTTCACCTTGCCATGAGGTTGCAAGAGAGAACAAAATCATGTGACATTGCATCATTTCCTGTGATGATGTATGCTGTGCCATATTAGCATATCAGCCAGACTCAACTCTTTACATTACGTATTTCCTCAAGTCTCAAGTTCATATTTCTTTGAAAACAAGGACAACTGCTGTGACAGTTTCACTAGACTATCAATCGTATTGTTAACTCCTTTTGAGAAGATTGTGAATTTGAGTTCCCCAAATAATCTCTCAGGTCTCTGCTGGGCATAAGAATTATCAGATGATATCAGTTCAGCAATCATGCCATCATCTGGATATTTCAATGAACATAGGATCTTTAGCCTGTGTGACTTTGTTGATAACTTCTTCAGCCATGTAGGCGGTTACTTCTGTGTAAAAGATGATACACTGTGATTAACCAGACAACGCACTAATTTTGGATTGAATGAAGTGGAACCATGGATGTAGTTTCTGCTCTACAACTGTTTATATCAAATGTGTTTTTAAGAATCTAATCTGGCATTCCTGGTCAGTGGTCTGGTAGGTTCCATGCTTTCTGCCATTTGTCATATTTCCACACATGACTGGAATAGTAATCCTCCTCTTCCTCCCTCACATTTACAAATCATCATCTTGTACATGTGAAATGAGTATTTTTGGAGAGTAGGAAGTTCTCAGTCTGTTTCCACGAGGAGATCACATGGTGCTAAACCATTCTGGAGTGCAGTAGAATGACAGTTCTGAACTACAAGTTTAATGTCATAATTTTTCAGCAATGCCTTTCTGTAGGCACTCATCTTTCAGTTTCACCATTGGCTTGAGGGTCTCATAGTGAGCTGATACAATTGACAAATCAATAATGATGCTGTGAATCTTTAAAGAACTGATTTGCAAATTGGTTCTTTGTTTGAGTTTACAAAATTTGTGATTCCATGTGTTGCAAAGATCTCTATTAATGATGTAATTACTGTTGCAGACATGTAACCATGCAGTAACTTGACATCTGTCCATCTGGAGGAGTATTATCAGATTTGTTTTACCTCTATGCTCAAAGAAATCCATCCTAAGATGTTCCCATAGTCCTGATAGAAAAGAAAAGACAGTATCAATGGTTATCTTCTATCCAGATGTTGAACAGCAGAAGTAATAGAGCTTGATATCATCTGTTCTAATAATTTCGAGAGATTTAGTAACCAAACAGAATATCTTACTCTGACTTGATAACTTGTGACAACCAGATATCCTTGGTGCAATCATTACAGAATATGACGACTCAGTACTCTCAGAATGACTGATATCTTGCCATAAATGAGAGAATCATCAGTAACATGTCCTCTGTGTTCGTGGCTCTGTCTGAGAATGGGATTGGTGTGGCATTTATGCTAGCCATCATTTGTTAAAGAATGTGCTCAGGTCAGAGAATACTATATTGGATTTCTGTGCATATCTGATTTCATTCAGTCTCCGAGTTGTTGCTGGTAGAGTTGTAGTTATCTTTGAAGAATTGGAAACCATTACATAAAGAGAATCACATCTTGTTCAGATTGTGGCAGAGATATGGACATTTGCACCTGGTCTGGTCTGCTGTTTTCTTGAAACATACCCTGTCTTTTATCAAACTTCATCATTCTCAGTCTGAATCATTGTACCTGCAGAGGCATTTTCTAACTCCTTAGAATTTGAGAGTTTCAATAAGGGTTGGTGGTCTGTGTCAATCTGGAAAGGAAAATCAAGAATTTAACTTGCCAACTTTTGACAAACCCATGTATGAACTAATGTCTCTTTTTCTCAATTTTGGTAAGCTCATGTCCATAGCGACAAACTTTGTCCTCAACTTTTTTGTTGAGCTGTATAAGATTTATGCAAATTCTGATAGATCAGTTGGTTCTTGGTACTAGGCCCCATTCTCAAATACCAAATGTTGGTTTTGTCACCGGTCAAATAACACATTGTTTCCTTTCTTTCTTTTTGGAAGACTGGATGATGAACTTTTCTAGGTGTAAGTAGACACAGGCTTTCAGGATGTGCTCTAGTGTATCGTTTTCAGCTTTCCTAGTCCTGTGAACAGCTATGAAAAATTCAGGTCTGAAGTTTTTACGCTGACCATCATGGCTTTCCAGTTCCTCTACACTGCAAATCAGGTGGAGATTAGTACAAGCTTTCATGCTTAAGTGTGGTTTAGGATCACATTCAAGGTTTCAGTGATTTTTCTCGCTTCTGCAGGGGTGTATTCAATTACAGTCATAGAGGCGTACAGCATGGAAACAGATCCTTCAGTTCAACTCATCCATGCCGACCAGCTATCCTAAATTAATCTAGTCCCATTTTCCAGCATTTGCCTCATATTCCTCTAAACCCTTCCTATTCATAAACCCATCTGGATGCCTTTTAAATATTGTAATTGTACCAGCCTCCATCACTTCCTCTGGCAGCTCATTCCATTCAAACACCACACTCTGCATAAAGAAGTTGCCCCTTAAATTAAACGTTAAAAGTTATCCATTTTAAATCTTTCCCCTCTCACCTTAAACCTATGCCCTCTAGTTTTGGACTCCCCCAACCCAGGGAAAAGACCTTATCTTTTTACCCTATCCATGATCCTCGTGATTTTATAAACCTCTATAAGGTTGTCCCTCAGCCTCTGACACTCCAGGGAAAATAGACTCAGCCTATTCATCCAAACCTGGCAATATCCTTGTAAATCTTTTATTAACCATTTCAAGTTTCACAACATCCTTGCTATAGCAGGGAAACTAGAATTGCACACAGTATTCCAAAAGTTGACTAACCAATGTCCTGTACAGCCACATGACCTCCCAACTCCTATACTCAATGCACTGACCAATAAAGACAACCACACCAACACTTTCTTCACTCAACTGTCTCCCTGCATCTCCACTTTCAAGGACCTGTGAACCTTTGTCCTATGATCTTGAGCTTTATATTGCCTGGTACATGATGGTTGAAAATAACTTTACTCCAATCATGGCTCAGCATCAGAAGGAACTTATACTGCTGTGCCTATATTTAACTTGAAGCATAACTGGTTTCCATGCTATACAGCTCTATGACTCTATAAACTGTAACTGTTCCAATATACCCATAAACACACCCTTGGCAAAAGGCAAATTCAGAATGCAGAAGTGTCTCACATGCAACTTCAGCAGACCAGGAGAAAAAACATCCAGAGAAAACTCGCGGAGAAAGTGTAGCAGCCAGGAGAGATCCACTGCCTTCCAAACTTACTGAGACCCCAGCAACAACTGCTGCTGAAAAAAAGCTAAAAATCCTGGTTCTGAGGGAGCTTGAACCCACCCTTTTAGACCGCTTCTATTGTTCCAACTTCTCAAAAGAAAAACACCCAAGGACTCACAGGCTATTTATTCTAGTGGTTTTGGTAGATCTGCTCATCACCGCTGCCTTAAAAACTCCATTCAAAAAAAAATTCAGGACAAACTAACCAATTAAAGCCAACAGCATCATCACACTGTAGATCTTGCAATCTTATCAGGGCTGTACAGACCGGACCCGAAACGGTAACTCTGTTTATTCCTTCACAGATGCTGCCAGACCTGATGATTTTTTCCAGCAACTTTGATTTTGTTCCTGTACAGAAGATAATTGGTAAACATCCAGATACTTCACCCTTATTCCAGAGTACACTTATTAAATTCAGCCCACTTGACAATGGCATTTTAAAACAAATTAACATAGGTCTGGAGTGTTTTTTTTTTACTTCTTCAAATGTAGCTTTTCCTTCATCAATCCCTTACCTGACTACGTTATCATCTGCATAGCAACCCAACACAAATGATAATGTACTAACCTGAAAACTATTGGACAATGCAGCAGGACCAGACAAAATGTAGTATGTTGTAAATCTTTGGTACCAATTCAGCTATGCTTCTGTTTCATAGGGAACCGTAAAATGCTTGAAGCTTTTCAGCAATGGCAGAGACCATTTCTATATTTTCTTGCACTTGCTGCCACCATAAAACATCCTTGGACTTGCTGTGCAGCCACTAAATATTTACACAGTCTGCTGAGGCAGGGAAAATACTGACTTTGTTAAGAAACACTTTACTATACTATGCCTCAAGGCTGCAAGAGAATACGATGTGTGGTATTGCATCACTCCTTTCATGCATTCTGCTTCATTAGCATATCAGATAGTCAGGGTTAATCCTTATGCTACACATTCCCTACAATTCACAAGAATGAGAGTTGATCTAATTGAAACATATTACAATTTTCAGGGATGACAGTGTAGATGTTAGGATCTAGACCTAGGGGTCAAAGTCTTAGAATAAGGAATGGGACATTAAGGAGCAACACAAGGAGATATTTCTTCACTCAAAATTTGATTTTAGGAATTCTCTACTTAACAGGGTTGTGGATGCTTAGTTGTTTGGTATATCAAAGCAGAGATTGATTGAATTTTGGATATGAAGGAAATAAAGTGAGATTCATATGGAACGGTGTAGCAGAGGTACATAATTAAGATCGATCTTCCTGAATGTCTCAGCAGACTTGAAAAGCTGAAGGGCCTACTTCTCCTGCTCCTGTTCTTATGCTGGAGCGAGTGAAAGACCAGAGAGAAAAAAAATCAAAGTAATATAGGGCAAACAATGCATACAGTGATGGAAAGAATTGGAAAAGCCAAGAACAAAAGAGTGGTAAATTTAACATCTTTTTGATAAAACACACATTAAAAAAATTTTTGCAATAACCTCAAGTGTTGTAGATCTTCAAAAATGCAACAAGTGATTAGATATACTCAGACTTTCGTACTGTCAGAGTCAATAATCCAATGGTTAGTTGGATAATTTGAACCCAAGAAGGAGGTTTCTGCTTCCAAATTAATTTGCTACAACGTAGGGTTAAAATATTGAATAAATAATTAAGACAGTGCACAAGGATCTGTCAACTGGTTATTTTTACCCAGAGATGAAAGAAGTCCTGATCCAAATATAATATGGATATAGCTAAGCTTCTCTGACAGCTAGTCATGTAGTTAGCAGGATTTTCACACATACAATTATCAAAATTTATTTCCCATT